AGCCAATGTCTTATCTCCATCTCTATAAATACAAGAACTGAGGGGGGAAGCGTGAATATTGGGTGAGGCGGTCGCAGTGGCCAAATGTGTGTTTGTTGTCTTCTGTGGCAGGATTGTAGTGCGATGGCATCTAGAAACCTGGTGGCAGGCTTCAGATAAGCCACCACTGAGATAGATATTCCTCTTGAGTTTTCGCTCCAGGTGCTGAAGTCGCCCTATGCTCTCCGGTTGTTACGACCTATAAATAGGACAGCATCCGCCAGTTGTGTGGTCAAGCAGTATATCCAGCCAGCCCTGAGCTGTCATCTTTAGACGATAAGAGGACTGAATAGCTAAGTGCGTCTGCCTGCATGGTGGGGGTGTGACATGCTCGCTAATATATGTTCCACCAGTGCAAGGACAAAGGGGAGCCAAATGAGGACATACATGGCACCGCGGCTGAGACATTTTCCTCATTACCTTTGTCCTATCTTAACTCTTGTCCCGCTCTTCTTTTGTCCACTCGTGTTTATTCATGTCTCAATTCTCTACTTTCTTTTCTGCCGTAACTCAAATTTATTTTTATCCCCATTGCTCTTCTCACCCGTAATCTCCTTCCCTTTCTCTTTTGCGACAGCCACTATTTTCTCCACCTCTATTAACTCTTCCTCATTCCCTTAACCCCACCCTCCCTCCCCCACGACTTTCTCCCCATTTACGCCCTTTGTCCCCTCCCCTCACTGACGCTCACGGCGGGGCGGCAGTGAACAAAAGAGCAAAGCAAAAGGTCAACTTATCGCGGTTGTCACTCAACACCCTGCAGTGTGGCTAGTGCAAGAGTCATGGGCCTCCCATTGATCACCATGTCGAAGACATGCCCGTTATCCACAACGCTCCCCGGAAGTTAAATGCCCCCCAATCAGCCGCTTCTGGGTGTCCAACCGTAAACAGTAATTACGTACGTTAAATGGTACTCAATAATGACAAACAGAAGGTAACTTAAGCGGAGGAAATAAACTGAATACTTTCAGTGAGCAATTAAAAAGCTCTGGAGTTAAAACTTCTCTTTTTACCCCACAAGCCAAAAACTTTATAAGCATGACGTTTTGTAAATATTACTTGGGATTGTCCAAAGAGAACAACTTTGAGGTATGTATTATTCAGAGTTTGTTGCAGGAATGCTCCTCCAATGGTAAGGTTAAACACTCCTTCTGTGACTACACTAGAATAATCAGAGCTCTGCACAAATGGAAAATGATTTTCTGGCAAGTATGTTTAATTACTACACTTTTGCATCTCAAGCAACAGCGACTGGTAAACCAGCCAATTCGTACGTGTGTGTATTAGTCATTTTTTAATCTTATCTCTGCAGCAGAAACCTGGTATATCTTCATTCATTCATTTTATTTCCTGAGCCCAAATGTCTCGTGAGCCTGACCAGAATTTAAGTCTGGACCGAAGAGACACGAAGAGCCTCCGAAGGTCCCTACGAACCGGTTAAAGTCTCGCTGATTTATTTCAGTGGAAGAATTTTAATCAATGTTGCAGTCAACTGTATGGACCACCTTTCAATGGCTGAGACATAACCTTGCCAAAAATAATCAGTCATTGCTAGTTCTAAATGAGGCAGAGGAAACATTCCAACGGAAAATCTGCAAGGTGATGAATGTGGTCAAACAACATTTGGCGCTCATCATTCAAAGATACATAAAAAAGGGAAATATTTTCCACTCGATGCGATTGCAGAGCTGGAGTGTTGGTGCTGGATTTACATTCGATCATCGATTGAAATTATTTTTATTCTCACATAAGATGTTATCCTTGGCTGCGGGGCTCTAACTCAATGCTTCCACCTAGCTTTTCATCCACAGAAGGCACCTTGCTTTGGTTCAGTGGCGCTGCACACGCTCACACGCACACACACGCACACACACACACACACACACACACACAAACTGAACCAATTGAACCATTTCCCTCACACAGGCACTTGAATCCACAAGACCTCCTGAGCGACAACACTAACTCAACATATGAAGTTAACAACATCACAGTTCTTGGCAAAAGAGAAGTGCAGAACGAGGCAGCAAAGTGTTTCAAGCTTTGGACCTCTGGCCTGATTGAAAGTCAAAGCGACTGGCAGAAGGAGACGGCCTTCCTGACGCCTCCTGGCCCTGAGTGATCAAATCGAATAGCGGGGGCAATTTATTGAAGAAGCTATCTGGTGGGGAGGAACCGGGCTTACCTTCCTGCACAGCCTGGAAAGGGTTGTTTGGCTCGATTAGTTTCACGGAGTGGGTGATTTTCTCGCTCTGCAGAATGTCATCGTTCAGACTCAGATCTGAGATGGCGAGTTGGAAAATCTCCTCATCTCTCCCAGAGTTTTCCTCAAATATGGCACCTGTTGAATTAAATAACCACGAATCATTTGGAGGGAAAAGATGAGGGGCTGAAATGTGATTGCGCGCCACTTTTATTAAAAGACCATCGAAAAAGCAGAATAAATAGTTTGTTTATCCTCCAAAGCACGTCAACGTGATACATAATTTAGTGTCGGGAAATAAAATCGATCTGTTTGTTTCTGTTGCCTCGTAGTTGCGCACACGGTGCTTAAAGTGGGCCAGGTAATATTCCAGCACCTTGGAGAGCAACACGGACACATCGAAACCACTCAAATAATTGATGCATAAAGAAGCCAAAACTTAACTTAATAGATGGCAACCCCTCCCCAATAAGCATGCTGGCGTGACGTGGGAGGCATACTGAGGCTTAACTGTCTCCCTGACACCGCACCCCTCTTTCTCTCTTTATGCATCAGCTGCTATTATAAGGCGGCGCATATATCACAGAAAAGGGTTTCAGGGAATGAAAAAGCATAATTGGGGTATAGGCTACCCGGACGTCACGTGGGGCATCAGCCAAAATGATCTGGATGGAGTCCCGCCACCGTATTAAGCCAGTGACTGAGCACCTGCTGCTTGCCAGACTGTTGCAGTAAACTGCGAACAACACCAACACCCCACCTCCACCTCCACCCACACCCACCCAGCAGCAGCGGCAGCGCAGGAGCAGCGAGACTAAATGTGCTCACAGTGACATTGACGTTTTTATCTGAGACCACAACGCCAGTCATACTAAGTGGCACCGTGACTGTGCGCAGAGGGACATAAACCAGCGCAATTACTCCGCGTGCGTGCGCGTTCCAGTGTGTTTCCAAACTGTAAAATGCAATGCAATGTTTAGGGACAAACACATTTAAAATAAATAAATAATAACCTTTGAACGTCGTGTTTAAAGCCCCCCCCCCCCCCCCCTCCCTTTCCACCCCCTCTCTCTTTCCATTTTGGCACCAAAAAAAAGGCAGCTCTGGTTTGAAGTTAGAGAACAAAGAGGCTCTATGTGTTTTGCATCTGTAAAACGAAACTCCACTGACATTTCCCCTCCGTCCTGTTTTTGACATTGCGGTCACGTTCCGGTGAAAGTTGAGGCGGGTGCAGACAAGAGGTAGCTTGGTCTGAAACAGCCTCGGTCATTTCGTCAAAGCCTCCACGATACGGGCCCTCTCTCTGTAGTCCGTGTGTGGAATACTGATTTGCAATTTACAGGCCAACGGTGGGTAGTTTTTTTATTTTATTTATTTAGATCTGGACAAGACAACAACGCATCGATTAGCCGTCGCAAAGTGTAAGGAACGCCTGCAGAAAAGGGCTGGGAAAAAAACAAATAACCGCAATACATGATAAAAACAGCTGCGGTGGTAAAGGTCAGAGGTATGGCTGCTTACAAAAACGCCAACTTTCCAACTCACTTGAGAGTCAAAGTGTTGCTTAAACACAGGACGCCTAGAATGTTTATCCCGCCCTCTCCCCGATCAACGCAGAATGCGCCGGCCGAGCTTCATCTCCGCACACTTTGCGTCTTACAGCCTGTCTATGAGCCTTGACAGCGGGTTGTTTGAGCGGACGCTTACCGATGTGTATGATGGAGTCCGCTTTGGCCAAATTGCATTGCAATATCCACAGGGAAAGGCAGATCAGCAGCAACTCCATCTCAGGATTTCGGCGAAGCGGCTCATCCAAGCTCTGCTCGACTGTCCGACGCTTTCCAAATGGAGCACCCAACGAAAAGGAGAAAAAAAAAGAAAGAAAAGATGCTCAAAAGCCCGTGCAGAACAGAACCGCGGTCTTCCTCTTGGCGGACGAGACGCGCATGAAACCCAATCGATTTTTGATCTTTTCTTTTTCCTTTTTCTTTTTTTTAAACCAACAAAAAACAAGCCGACCCGCAGGAAGGTGGGCTCAAAAAAAGACGCAGAAGAGCCGGCGAGGACCCGAGGTAAGACTGAAAGGACAGGTGGCCCGTGAGAGAAAACCCGGCGTTACCTCTCTCCCTCTCGCCTCTCCCCCTGCGCTCCGGCGTCTAAAGCGTGGCAAGCAGCGAAAAAAAAAAATTGTGGAGGAGGGACACCCCTCTAACTACACACGGACACACGCTCAAATACACACTCCCAATGAGAAGACACACGGGCGCGCGCGCGCGTCAGTCCTCTCCCGATCACGTGACTGCAGACACTTTACGACTCGGCTGCTGTCCCGACGAGCCGGGTAGAAATGATTTGGACTAGCCGGAGAAAGACGCGCGGGGAGCCGATGTCCAAAAAACACGACTCCATCGGCCTCGGGTGAATAGACCGAACCAAGTGCGCGACAAAAGCCCACGCGCGACACCAAATTTATAGATTCGGCGTGTGGGGAGTATACTTTTTGGAGAAGTTGGCGGTTCTTTTCTGGGCGGGAGGGGAAGGGTAAGGGGGGGGGGGGGCGGTTTCAGGGATGAGGTGAGGGTGCGCAGCGGAAGAAACGCGTTGGCACTGCACTTCGGCGGCGACGGAGCGCAGCTGATGTGGCGGAAAAAACAGGATTTACGCGCCGTGATCCTCGCGGAGGGATGATGGATGGGGGGCGGGGGGGGGGGAGGGGAAAAAACATGGCAGGAGCCACGACGCCGGCATTGCGACGGGGAACAGCTGGATTGAGTTAGCCGACCGGAAGAGCTTTTTACAGGAGGCAACAAACATTAAATCTGCTCAATGTTTTGTTCTCGTGGCATTACTTGATCAGTTTATTGGTTGTCGATTCAGCGAAATCGACGCCCTCGTTTTGCTCGTGGGACTATGGCGTCGGGGCTCGTTTTTTTTTGTCGTTTGAATCCGACCACAAGGTGCCTTTAATTCATAGTAGCAGCAATTCAAGACGAAGAAGAGACAGAAGTGACGCAATTGGCGTGGTTTTATAGACAGGCATGATCTTACAATTAAAGGATATTTCTCGTGACTGCAAAATAAAAAACGGAAATATCTCTTAATTGTTTGGTTAAGTCTGTCAGAGGCGCAGAACTGAAACTTTCAGCACCATCGGCACCGGACAGCTCCCTCTGCAAAGTGCACAAGTCCGAGGGGAGAAAAGAAAAGCACCTGTGGAGCAAAGAAGGTCCGAGATCTCCCACCCTGCTCGATGTCTCCATGTTGGTCTACTTCTTTATTTCTTTCCAGTGACTCGTTTTAAGGTTGGAAGAAAACTATGCCGTGGAGTATAATGTGTTGCACGTTGGTTTATTTCAGAGACTCAACACAACGACAGCGCCAGCCAAGACTCACGCGCACGCTCATCTGGTTTTCATCGCAGTCAAGAAATAACCCGCAATGCCTGCAAAGTTGTTGTAAAATCACACACTGCCCCTACTGGCCACCTGTGGATGCTGCAGTTTTTTTTTATAACAATCCATGACATTTCAGTGTGATTTAGATTAAAAAATGGGAGCTCAAAAGGAATTTTAAAACACACCGTTTTGTGAAGAAATGGTTTTTAATCCGTTTATATCTAAAAGTGGAGCATAACGTGTATGCGGACTGTAATGCTAACCTTCATATTAGTGCAACACGTCAAGTTGCAAACATAAGGAACACACGGTATGAATTGATTGTTGAAGCCCTTTGATCCAAATTATAATACCAGTAGTAGTAGTAGTAGTAGATAGTACATAGTAGATTAACCCAGATGCATTCCAAGGGGATAAAAACACAAAGATTAACCTTGAGATCTGAGATTTCAGATTTAAGCTGACGGGCATCCAAAATTCCATAAACAATTCAATACATCACAGAAAGTCTTGTAATTGTATTGATCTATGAAGCAAACTGTTGTTGAGACTTCACCAACAATTTATTTTCACTGGAAAATTTCACTGGCTTGTTTTTTGAGTTCTTTGGTTCTTATGACTGTATGTGATGCAAATTTGCCATTTGCTCTCTCTCTCTCTCTCTCTCTCTCTCTCTCTCTCTCTCTCTCTCTCTCTCTCTCTCTCTCTCTCTCTCTCTCTCTCTCTCTCTCTCTCTCTCTTTTAGAGGAGTAACACCTTACTGACCCTTAAAAGCTGCAAAGACGCCACATGTGAACATTTCTTTTTTATATGCACTCAAGATGTTTAATAATGAAATAATGATGGTCTCACATTTTGTATGTTTTGATATGATCAACAACTATCTCTCAATTAGGAATAAACTGGATAAAACACTAACATCAGCGTTGTAACTCCATCATTCAGAGTGTGAAAATGCAAGCGCGAGTCTTGCCATCTTATCCTATCTGACCATTACTACATATCAGACCGGTATGTGGAAAATTATGCACCTATAATATTTATTATTTTCATATAGAAAGGTACTTTCAATAAATAGCAGTGTGTGGTTTGCATTGTTAAGAACATTGAATAGGAAGAGGGAATACTTTTCCATAGACATAGCCATTATTATACTATACTTTATTAAACATGACAATAGACAGTTGCATGGCTGGCTAATCCATGAAAAAATTATGGCATCGGATTTTTCAATTCAGACAAACGAATGAGACAATCATCAATTACAACTAAAATGTTAACATATAGAAAACGTGAAATAAAATATTCTATCCTTAGCATATGGTTGTTAATGGCCAAAAGACTGTTTACTTTTAGACTTATCTTTTATAAAATATTTCTCCTGCTTGGGACTATGGTATTTTAATATAGTTATGGGAAATTCATGCAGTTCAAATTAGCAGCATCGGTTAACAATTGGTTCTTAATGAATTAGAAATTGATCCGGTTCCATTTGACTGCATGGTCAACCCTTCCCCCTGCTGCGTGTTAGGTGTGAGTTCATTCATACCTGCTATGCTTTTGTTCTGAAAACGTCCCTTAACAATTACCTACAAAAACAAAAAAAATACAAAAATGCTGCCATCTGTCAGTGTTTTTGTTCCCTCAACTCCGGCAGTGGAGCGAACCTCGTGCATCTCCCTGGGTGTCAACACGAGTTTGTCTCAAAGGTGCTGCAAACAGCCACCGAGACATTAGCGGGTAGGTCACGCCTGCTCTCAGCGACGACGGTGGAATTTCATTGTCACACGAAACTGAGTCATTAATGTTTGCGGCTTTGAGCAATGAAGTGAAATGGAAGGACATGGTTTTTCTCCCTCTTTTGGGAACGAGGCCAAAAAGTAAGTTCCGATGAGGAGGAACTGTCTCGTGCCCGAAGCACCAAAGCAAAAATACAACCTGTTCGACGTGGATCGATAAGTACCGCTGCCACACAGTGACCTCTCGCTGATGGGTTCTCATATAAGATTAGATTCATGTTGCCTTTATCCCAAATAATACGCTCCTCTAATCAAAAGCCTACAGGACAGGTCTCGGCATGATTAATTGTTTCCATGTAGATTAGCGCCTTTGCGTTCTGGGTCCTCAGTTCCTTCTGATGAGTTCCATCTCTCAGTTTAATCTTAAATTACTTTTCTATGCATGACTTGGGGCAAAGAACAATGCCGCCTGTGATTGCTGTTTGCTGTGAAATATACAAGCCTTGCTCCTGAGTAGCTGTGCAGTGTCCTCATTGATTTGTACCACTATTAGTTTTGTTGTACGTTCACTGAATCTCCAAAAAGAAGAGTCTATTTAATAGTTTTCATTCAAATACGATCGGTCATAAGTAAGTGGTTGTTACTGTTTTTGGTTATTGTGCTTTCCCTTATCACTGAATTCATCCCTTGGGATCTACTGTAGAATAAGATTGAATTTAAGCACTTCAGTCGGACAGTCAGCAGCGTGCATGTTCCGTCTGTCAAAATTAAAATAGTTACTGCAGAATTTGTGTTGCATAGATACATATGTTAATGTTACTGAGCAGCGCAGTACAACTACAGAAGTAAGTTAGCATTTGGTTTCCCAGTAGAATAGCAGAGCTTGACACTTGGATATGATAAGTTGACTGAAGAGTCTGTGAAGTTGGGCCTGTCCATCCCGTTGTGCTACGAGATGCAGATGGATGAAGCCCATGCACACATTTGGACCAGGGTTAAATCTTTGACAAGTTGAAAATCCATTCATGTCAAGCAGAACTGCGCGGGGAATAGCAATAAGTGTCTGCAGTGCTAGAGGTGAATAAGCGAGACCCTCTTTTCCAAATACACAGCCCGAGGTAACATTATAGATTAATCATGTTATGGGAGAACAAGCACAAGCTCCGTCACAGACTCTGAATTTCAATGAGCGAATTGTTGACTACCGGCATCATTATATATTTCAAGATCACAGCGAACTGAACCTTAGTGAAATATGTACCAGGTAATAAATAAAAAGAAATATTATGTTAGTGAAAAAGTATAACGGTGGATAGAAGCTTTGAAACAGTGGACAATATCAGCCCGAGAACTTTGACAGCTGCCAGAGCAGAGGTGTTCTAAGCCTTCCAGCCAGGGACATGACTCCGGATTCAATTTAACTGAGGTATGTAACCTTCACACTGCTCATGTATGGAGGCCTTGTTATAATATGAAACAGAAAAAAACCTCTGTTTTCGATGTAAAAGGTCAGGTTACTTGAAAAAGACCCTTAAAATGAGAACCGCGCATACCTTTATAGATAGTTAATATTACGGTTAACTCCATATAATTGCCACAAAGATAGAAATGTGGGAAAAGGGTGTTTGAAAACAACTGCACAGAAGAACATACAAAATATACAGCCTTTATGATCAACTGTGGTGTGAAAAGGCAAAATAAGTTGTTCTAGATGGATGTTTTCTACGAGCCTGACTGAAGAAAGTTTCTAGCGACAAGAAGACAGAATAAAATCGCTTCTGTTCTGTTCCCTTTGTACTCTAATGTTCCACCACGTGTCTCATCACCCTGTCGGAGTCCAACTGTTAGAGGATTGTGGCTACACCTTTTCAAAAATACAAAATGAGCACATTGACCAGATGTGGACGGTGTTTTATGATTTTACTGTCTGCAAGTCTTTGTTATTATTGATCCGTGGGTACGCCCGGCAGTAAAGGACCAGTCCGCCTGTCAATCAGTTTGTCTTTTTGTGTGGCTGCAGAAAAATGTCACCCTGTCAATCAATGACTGTATTTGTGGGGCAATGGGTTAAACAGCAGTGGGATGCAGACATTTAACACAGGGGACATCATTTTGACACAAAGAAAGAAAAATAAACAACGAATAAGCAGTAAAATACTCAGTAGTCAATTGATCCTTTGCTAAGCTCCGCCCCCTGCTGTTAACGCGAGTTAAAAAGACGTGCTCGGGCCTCATATTCAATGCAAGCATTACTACTTTAAAAGTACTTTACTGTCTATAGTTTATAAATACTAGCTTCAGAGATCTAGAAATAGGATATTTTGAGCACCAATCTGTCAGGAGACACCAATGTAAGCCACTCACACTGAGGCATTTACCACCATTGGGTTAATCCTCGAGGGTCCAGGCTTCAGGGGGGGACATCGGGATCGGGACACAGACTTGGGATCAGGGGAAAAATTGCACCACAGTCATGGCATCATTTTTTGCCTTATTCCCCTTAAAAAAAAAAAGTACACCCCCTCGCACCACAGTGCTCCAGCTAAATCTTTCCCCCTCCGCCCTCTCTCCCCTGTGTTTTGTTGACAATTCTGAATTAGGTCAACATCAAGGGAAAAGCTGTTCAAATAAAATAACTAGTGATGTGTACAATTTAAACCAGCGGAATACCGCGCTATTAGTGACGACAGTTTGACAAAGGATTCCACCAGCCACGGCAGATCAGGGCCCCTCTAGACTACGTCTGTGAATCAACCAGACACAGTCCTTTTTAGAAGTCAGACCAAGTCTCTCTCCTCTCCTCTTAATATACGGGTCTGGTCTTTTTTAGATACGATTATATATTCATTCTATTTTAATCAAGCTTTTGTAATTATAATTTTCCGAGTGTTGGGGGAGGATTGTTGAGCTCCACCACACCGATCATTGTCCATAGCCTGATAACATCCAAGTTTGTGCCCCACATTATTACTACTCGCCTTGTTTGCAACCTTTTTCTTTTGTAGCCTCCAGACATGAGCACAACACGATTTACCCTATTAGAAACAAGTTTCTTCTTGCTTAATAACAATTAAAGGCATATGCTCCTATGTGTTTAAATAATGGTGTTTAAAAATGTACGCGTGAATTCCTGACAAGATCTTTCCATTTAAAAGGTGAACTAACAAATGTAACTTGTGAGAAAACAAAGTGGTGAGACACTGTGCAATTGAATAGGCTTTGTTCGCTTATTGGCAACCATTATTTATTCCAATTTTAAAATTGGAATGAACAAAAAGTTGCCACACAAACCCACAAATCAATATACTCCAGTCGATTCCACACAGTGTTAGTGGTGTAGTGGTGTCCTCTCCAGAGGTGATGGCCACTACCAGGGATCATTAGCGTTGTGCTCAGAACATAAACACACAAATATTACATTGCAGAAGCCAGAAATACTTGCAGCTTGCAGTTTTTTTTATATCTATTCATGATGAAGTCAAGGTTGGTCTCTGGAAAGTCAAGGTTGCTCTCTAACAAAAGGAATATTCCTCTCTCTAAGGCCGTCCAAACCTCACGCGTTTCATGTCTTGTCCTCTCACTGCCACCTTCACAGATGTACTTGAGACAGGGCTCTCTCTCTCTCTCTGTCTGTCTCTCTCTCTGTCTGTCTGTCTCGCTCTCATATAATGTGTTAGCAGATGACATGATGAGATTCTTAGTATTCAGCTCGGTTCCTGGTCTTCTTTTAACTCCATGGAGGAGTTCCTCCTCTGCTGTTGGCCCCAATGCCTACTTTCGAGATATGAAAGCCTTGGGCCTAATGACAAAATCTAACTCAATAAGTTTTACTGATATAAGCCCAAATTGGATTTCCTTGTAGTACTTCCAAATGAATCCAAACGTATTGCACTCCACTACTTGTGAAGCTCATCCTGATAGTTACCAGAATTACTATCAAGAAATATCCCCCTGCGGCCAAAGCCGAGATTTATTAACACACTCATAAATCTGCCACTTTCTTACTGAAAATATGTGAGGAATATGCCCCATTACCTTATTTAAAGGCAAATTATTTGAAAAAAATCTCTGCCGTTATATCACTGGCTTCCATTTGGGTAATTATCCTTCGCATTCGGGGTAAATGACAGAGCATCCTGATGGCATCTGATTAATTGGAATAACATTTAATAGGCCTAG